AAAATCGATACGAAAAAGGAAAAATAAGTGGATGTAATGTGGATTTTTGTACGTTTACCGATTCCGCACGAATCCGTTTCCCCACTAAAGTGTGTGGCAGAAACGTTTGTACAGACAAGTACCGAGACGTTTTTGGCTGTTTATCTGAAATTTGTCTGATTGCAGTTTTCATTCAATACGCTTTCCTTCTGCACTTCACAGTTTCTTTTTCATGGTTCAACAAATTTAAATAAACAGAGGAAGCGCCAGACGGAATTCGAATCCGGCACCTTCTGGCAGCCCACAAATAGTGGCATGCTCCTCTAGACGCTCTGTAGTCGTTTTCTTTTCGCTTTCAGATAGGGAAAATTGTTTGAGACCGCACTGTCGGCAAAATTTACATTTCTCTGCTGGCTGGGTTAATGTATGGTTACCACAAGTCTTCTTTTTTGTTTATTTACTTTTTACTTCATACAAGTTTCTTACATGCGTACATACGACTATTTTTATTTAATGTATTCTCAATGGTTCTGGTTCTTCAAGTTCCCAGCTGTATTTACACACAAACACAATTGTATGTATGTATGTATGTATATATATTCATATGCTCATCACAGTGCCACGATGACGTAATTGATCTACAAGTAATGAAACTATATAAAAAACTTATCTACAAACGTATGTACACCCACTAGAAAAAAATTTCCATACAAAGATTTTTTTAATAGTAATATTTTCGTTAATTCTTCATAAAAATTTTAGTTCATTCTATATTACATACAAATAATTTAAATATAGGTTTTAAACTTTGTTTAATTTTATAAAAATTTGCCAATTTTCAGTAGAATTTCAAAATTTTTTTCGGATTTTTTAAAATTCGGTTCATTTTGAAACTTTTTTTGACAGTGTTGAGCATTTTGTTGCATATAAAAAAATGTTGGAAAATACATCCTTTGTATGGAAGAAAATGTGTGAGACTGTCAGCAAAAAAATCCAAAAATCAACGTGCCTTTTTAGTAACTTCAAACTGGCACATTTTAATACTAAAATTTAATACACCCCGTGGCAAACGATGGCACAACAATATTTTTACCAGTTTTGACTGATTGATTTGATGATTTTTTAGAAACTTGAAACTTGCACTATATTCTAGCAATTAAAATTAAAATGCATGGAATTGGGATGAAAATTTTGTGGAATTTTTATAATTTTTGTTCAAAGTCTAAAATTAAGATTTATATGGCATTTGTTAGAGCCATACTTTTACATAAAAATAATTAACCTTAAAAAATCAAAAGAAAAGTAGTCAAAACTGGTAAAAATGTTGATGTGCTATCGTTTGTCGCGGGGTGTAGGTTTTAAATATAAACCTACACACGAAAAAAATTGTCTAAAAATTCAGACAAAAAAGTTTGAAATTTTGTTGAATATTTAGCAAGCTTTTTCAAATTACAAAGTTGAAGCTTATTTATAACAAATTAACCAATTTTTTGAATGAAAAATATGAATACATATTTTAAAAGGCCTCTGTATGGAAAATTTTTCTAGTGGGTGTTTGTATGAATAATGCTTATCATAACTAACCGACACACACACATTGACAAGTTTTGGCGATTCAGTTTTTTTTTTTTATTTTAATTATTATTTTTTTTTTTTATCAAAACATAGTTCATTCTATATTATATTAAATATATATAATATATAAAAACCATATGAATCCAAATTTAAAATCAACACAGAATTGAGAAAACCACATAAACAAATTCCTAAAATCTTCACAATTTTTTTCCGGACTTTCAGAAAATTTTTTGATATACAGTATTTTTAAGCCAATTCAATTATAACTCATATAATAAAGTGCAGGCTTGTAGTCGATACAAAATATCGTTGATTTTTGGCATTTTTTCTTTGTTGACGGTGTCACTTATATTTTCTTTTATACGAGCATTTTATTACTATTACTCATATTTTCTTCTATACGAGTAATACAAATATTAGGGTGGTCCAAGAATGAAGGTTGGAGGGGAGGGAGAGAAGTAAAGTCGGAATTTTAATGCACTCACCCCTTAGGATTGTTCTAAATCGAAAAAATATAGCCCTGTTTTTTTTATTTAGAAATCAAAAAATATTTATTTCAAAGTTTTCCATGTATTTTATATGCGAAGAAACCATTTCTCGTGGAAACGTTACAGAATTCTTGAAAATCAATATTTTTCGATCGGAAAACTTTGCTTCTCTTGAAGGGACTGGCAATAATAATACCCAATTGTTTATTTTACCATTTTTTAATACTAGCAATATTTTTGGGTCCCTCATTCTGATATTTTGCTAATATTGGGGACATTTTTTAAATTAAAAAGCTTGTATTTATGTAAATGATTTATACTAAAATATTAAATTTAATTCTAATTAAAAATTCATGTTTTTTTTTTTTTTTTTTTTTTAATGAAGAAAGTGTGAAATTTTGAGGAAACTTTGTAGTTTTTTTTTAATTCTTTTGGTTATAAATGAACTGTACATTTTTTTAATTAAGTATTAGGAAAAAATATATAGTCAAAACTTGTGAATATGTGAGTGTCGAATAGTTATGATAAGCATTATATAAATATGAAAAATTATATACAGGTATGTACATATGTATATACATATATATATGTGTGTATATACATATATACATACATATAAATGTGTATGTAGTAATGCAGTTTTTTCTTGTTTACATCAAAATAGGGTTATATCAAAAAGTTGCTTCTATTTTCTGTTGCTTTTATTTTAGCAATAATTTTTTGATGGACTCTTTGATGTGGTTGCATATGTACATTAAGATGTATTTATGTATACATATGTGTACACACATGTAGGTAGACCTTATGGCTAGACGAGTTAATGTTAGGTTTTGTATGGTGATGTCCTTTGATAAACCAATTTCAACTTTTTCGCAAAGGAAATAAGAAAATACTACTTCTGTGAAGAAGCCAACTAGATAGCGAAAATCCTAATGATTATGTATGTGTCCATGTATGTATATATATTTGGTCTAGTACATAAAAAATCGAGTGTTTTATTAAAAAAAAAATATAGTTTGTAAAAATGCATGCATAAAAAATTTTGGAGGTATTTTCATGTAAATTTTAATATTTTTTTCGAAATGTTTTGGCGGAAATCTTGAAATATAATAAATTGTATAATTCCGGTGAAAATCCGCCACTTTTTTGGTGAGGCACCCTATTGTATGAGTCCTTCTCTCATTCACCCATTGAAGGATTGGCACGTTTACCTCCCACATATCCGAGTATACATACATATGTATAGTTCTACTACCCAAAAGGCGACGCACAAATTCTACCAGAAGGTGTTCCAGCCCAAAGTGAGTTAGGGCATGGAGAACCGCCTCTGGCAGAATATTATTGAGGGCACTTTCGATATCTAGGATCACGCCTAATGCCAAACCCTTAAATGATAACACTTTTTCAATGGTGCTAACAATACAATGAAAAAGATGTGTATCCCCACACTTGCCTTTCCAGTAGGCATACTGACAGCTAGATAGTTTATTTATATCAATTTCCTGTCGGATCTACAAGTCCAGTAGTATTTTCATAACCTTGAGAAAGAAAGAAACAAGTAAGTAAGGTCGAATGACGCTTGGCTTCCTTTCAGAATGCACACAACCCTGAGTATGAAACTAAGTCTGAAACAAGCCTTATAAACTAGCTTTGCATTGTAGCACTCGTTAAAAAGTAGTTGGACGGCTGTCCATTGCCCTAAGCGCAAAGTTAGTGTGGGAAGAATTCTACAGTGTGTAAGAGCACAGGAATTTCCGAATATTTTCACAATTTTTCACAGAATTGGGAATTCGTTTGGCTAAGCATTCTTTTATTTTTATTTTGTTTGCTCCTATTCACTTTAGACCTTTTTTGTTCTTCATACTTTTGTGCTTTCCACTCGTCAATTTTTGTCTAAAACCAAATTTTCGAGCGCCAAAAATTCTACGTCATGCGCACATTCATATGTATGTGCATTAGAGTGGAGCGAAAAAAAATTTCTTTCGAGCTTCTAATTGTGCGGAAAAGTTGCGCAACATGATCACCTTGAACCGTGTTGAACCGTTTTCCGATCGGTTAATATTTACGGTCGCCCTAAGAGCTTTAAAGCTTCGAAAAATCTCTGAAATTATGGTTTTTTATCTTTTGTTTTAAAGATTTTCTAGAAAGATTTTGAGTATTCAGTGTAGTATAATAAGGTGAAAGTTTCAATTTGCTAAAAAATCGCGATGATAAAAAAATTTTTCGAACGTAATTTGTATGAAAAAACTGCGTGGCGCTTTAAGCAAAAAAATTTGCCAAAAATCAATGCGATTTGTAGGGCTACAAAACTGCATAGTCAAAATCTTTCTAGAAGTTATTTTAAAATAAATACATATAGCAAAAAAATAGTTTGAGTGAATTTTCGAAACTTTAAAACCCATGGGCTACCGTAAATATTACTCGTTCGGAAAACGGTTTAACGCGATTGTATGTGATCATGTTACGCAACTTTTCCGCGCTGTTATAATTTCGAAATCGAAATTTTTTTTCGCTCCGCCCTAATGCGCATACATACATAGTATATCCTTTACTTTTGTATCCTTTACATTCGCCTTTGTTGACTTGCGTTCCATCAATTAATTGACTACTTTTGATTAAGTCGCTGCGTGGCTTCCATTGGCCAAAATTTACTCATACTTACTAATTAACTTGTGTCAACAGTTGGCTAACCGCTACTTTTGCCAATACAAGGGGTTTGGCTATCACAAAAAAGAACAATTTTATTCTTCGTTTTTGTGTGTACACTTGTAATTTTTAGCCAAATATAGACAGCGCGCAAAAAAATGTGTCGCCAGTGATGTCGGCGCTGCTGAGTTCAACAGTTGCTCCTTAGTCTTTCTATTTTAAGCTAAATAAAAATTACAAAAAATTTGTTAAATTTTTATGCAAAAAACTCCTAGAACCCATACTCACAAGCGGCATGTACATTTTCAGGAACAAGATGGACGCTTACCCGGTTCACGACCCTCCAGCGCACCGGCGGAACCCAATGCCAAAGCAGCGCGCAAGGCTTCCAAAAAGATGGAGAAGGAGGCAAGGTGAGTGTAATACAAGAAATTTTTGTTAAGTATATAACAAGGAAATAATTCTCAACTCTCTATCCACCCCCCCTCACAGACGACAAGAAAAGGAAGCCAGTCGCCGTGAGAAGGAGGCACGCAAGTTGGAACGTGAAACGGCGCGTCGTCAAGAGCGCGAGGCGGCCAAGCTGGAAAAACTCAATCGCAATATGGAGAAAATATCGCGCAGCACAGAACGTGTTAGTGGCACACCGCGCTCCGGTTCGCTGGAGCGACGCCGCAGCGGTGAAGACTCACCGGTGCTCAACCAGTCGACCGTGCACGGCATAGCGAGTCCCAATCGCCGGCCCACCATATTCGATGTCTTTCGCCAGCGCGCCAAATCGGATGCCAAGCGCAAAGATTCCGCCCTATTGGTGGCGGGCAGTGGCGTCGTGGCCGGTGCAACTGGCGCGGATAGCAGCAGCGCGAGCAGCACACACTCTGGCGCCGGTGGTGGCATAATGAATCAAATGAAAGTGGCTATGCAGAATTCAGGGCTGATAGGTCATCATCATCATCACGATAAGCGTCAACATCCCGCGGTGACGATAACCACCGCCGAGGGCAGCAGTGCAAAGAATAAGTACAAAGATGGTTCGGCGCATCCGCATCAGGGCAGCGATGCACAGGTGAGCGAGGGAGGGAGTGAGTGTGTGTAGGTTTAGCCACGGGAGGCGAACAGCTTGAAAGAAATTAATACAAACAATTTTTTTGCGACCCACTCTAATGTGCGCTCATACTTATGTGTGTGAATTATCATATTTTAACACCTTTCGTGCCCACTAATTTCAGTATGCGCATATTTTAAAGTATTTGCTTAAATTTTTAAAAGCATTTGAAGAATTTTGTCGGCTAACTTTTAAGCTGCCCAAAAATGTGCTAATTAATGGTGGTTTGTTTTCTTTTGTGGACACTCATTTCAATTATTATTTTTTTCTCATAAAAATTTTGCAACTCACCTTTCTTTCAATGTTTGCAGTACTACCACACCGTCACAGCGGTACGACGTGCCGATGCGTCCCGCTCACCAATGACCAAAGTAATGGATTTGTTTAGGAGCCGTTCGAATTCAGCGGCCACCGAGGCGGATAAGCGCAAAGCGGTGAGTTTGAAATTAACGTATATTTTTTCTTTTGTCAATTCATTTTTTTTTCAACACATTTAGCAAGTGGTGAAAAGCTTTTTGTATTGTGAAAGCTTTGACCGCAGTTGAGGGTGTATTTCTTTGGCTTTGTTGGTAATTTCTTGTGAGTGGAAATAGCTTTACCAGAACACATCTATTTACCGCTAGATGACGCCTGGTGTAGTTGAGTCGGGTGAAAGTGTGTGCCAGTTGTTTCCGTTAAACAAAAGTACACTGAATAAAAAAGTGCAACTTTTTGCGATAAATAATCGAGCGATTCAAGAAAGAGGAATTATAGTTTTTATAGGCCATTTTTGAAAATACAATTATATTACAAAACTGACCAAAAACTCTTCACAAGAAGATATACCGTCTCAGTGTAGAGACCCGCAAGGCTGGGTAACATCTCGCTGTCAACGGAAGACCACACAAAGTATTTGGGAGTAGTATTGGATAGTAAGTCGCTGTGGAAGCGTAGTCTTGCGGAAAGAGTTAAGAAGGCTAGCAAAGTGCTAAATGCATGCAAACGAATTTTGGGGGTCACTTGGGGTCTGTCACTTGCTCGGATGCATTGGTCTTAGATAGCAATAGTCAGACCAATACCACTCTATCTCGCTTTGTTATGGCTGTTCTAGAAGGAAACCTCGGTTTACCGTGCTGCTAAATCCGCGGGTAGATTGACGGCCATAGGGGAATTCAATTACAGCTCAATTCGGGCGAGAAGCACAGGCAGCACTGATAAGCGACAAAAACAAAAAAAATTTCAAATCACACGAAAAAGTCAATGTACTGGCGAAACTATTGGCCAAATATAGTAAAACTGCATTTTTAGTTTTTCTATCTGACGTCAGGTTATTTTTTTTTTTTTGAAATCTCAAAGGTATGATTTATTGAACAAATATTTTTTATTTTTTTTTTTAATTCAGTGCAATGTAGAATAACAATATGAGTACCAAATGAAAGAGAAAACTCTGTATAACTAACAGGAAGCCTTTTGATTCTCAAGAACGAGTAGGTATTGGAAATTTTCCTTTCCTTTTAAATAATTTAAATTTTTTAAGAAAAAGTTCAAAGAGTGAAATTATAGGTAGTAGTCGTGTGTGTATTAGTGCATAGCATATAATTTTTTCAAAAATAAATATTGCAAATTTTCAAGGATATTCAAGGATAAAATTTTAAAAGGACCTTTTCAATAGCTATTCGTCCTTATACAACAAAAACTGTCATCTTTTGTAGTTCTGCAGAATTTCATCTTTTATTTGATACCCATATTGTTATTCTAAATTACACTGAATTTTTTAAATAATTTTTTTCAATTATTCATACCTTTGAAATTTCAAAGTTCTTTTAAAAAATATGCTGACGTCAGAGAGAATAATTAAAATCGCAGTTTTACTAGCTTTGGTCCGGAATTCTGCTTTAATTGGGAACGAAGGTTTCGCACAACGATTTAGGAAGAGGGATGTCGGAAGGGAATGAAACCCTCAATATTTTCACGAAGGGCTCTAAAATGACAATGGGAGTAGTTGCCGGAATATACTGCCATTGGAAGGCTGGGCGCAAACAGAAGACTTCATATCTATTGGGTGAACGGCCACATATGTATGTATGTATGAATAGAGGGTAATAAAATACCGCTACCAGTGTGACTCTCGAACCGACAAACTACATTTATAGACCACTCCAACACTTGTATAACGAATTCGACAACAGTATAACTAGGCAGTTCGGGGCTAGATGGAAAAAGTTAACCACCTGAAAAACTGCAAAAAGTATGTGTACTCCGAACACAGGCGAAACTAGCCGGTCTGAGCGGCAGACCAGAGAAACCTTAGAGCATCTCCCATGCCGATGTCCCGCACTATCAAAACACGACTAAAATCAATTCGAGAAGCTAGAAGATATTTCAAAATAAGAGCTAAAATTAATACTGAAATTCGCAAAAATGTTGATGTCTACTCTACCGTCTCAAAACGAGCTCCAACTGCCAACGCTAAGGGCCATGTGTAGCTCAACGCCTGCCAGAATAAGCCAACCTAACCTAACCTTTATTTATTTTTAGTTACTTAGTACAGGTTTTAATCAGTTCGTAAAACTAATGCTCCTACACAGAGCAAAATATGGCCTATAAAAACGAGAAGATTATCTCTATGAAAAATTTCTAGGCTAAGAGGTAAAACAGATGAAAAAACGAAAAAAAAAAATTTATTAATATCCCTTAGTCCAATAGTAGGGCATTAAATTGCCATTTAGTAGGTGTCGGGTTCGGCGCCATATCAGCGCACTTTCTTTTCAATGTCTGTTTTCTGTTTGAAGAGATTTCTTATTAGTTTTGTTCTAGTTTACAAAGTTTTTTTCTTTATGTGGTATTTAATTTTGCCGCGTTTTGTTTTGTTTTGTGGGTGCGACCGCTCGAAATAAAATTCAGCATATTTTCAGATTACTTCTTATTTGGCTCGATAATTGTTCGTCGGTTTGGGCCGAAATCATAAAACTTCGCCAATTGCCTATTTCTTTTGCGAGTTTCAGCCAATTGTACATCCCAAATGCACTTGGTTCTTCCATTGTGTTCGTGGGCGCGTCTTTTGTTCGTTGTCAACTCATCGTTGTCGAGTCGGTCTTTTTAAATGGAGCCTCGTTGACTATGCCAATGTCGTGAAAAAGTTAGTACAGTTCGTCATACCATATTCTTCGGTACCCGTCGTCTGGAACGAGACATAGACCTTGCGTAGGATATTTAGTTCTCTCAAAATCACCTTCGAAAGGCCTTCTCATCTTTCTTCGACATCGTCCATATTTCTGCGCCATATAAAAGTACGGGCATGATGCGAGATTTGTAGAACGTAATTTTTGATTATCGAGAGAGCGCTCTGCTTTTCAATTTCCTACCCGGCCCAAAGGTGCTCCTGTCAGCAAGAGTTAGTCTTCGCTTGATTTCCAGGCTGACGTTGTTGGTGGTGGTCTCTCACTACGCAAGGAGTTTGTATGTATTGCCAGGAAATACTTTGTCTGGTCCTCATTCACCGCTAGACCAATCTCTTTCGCTACTTTTTCTCAACTGAGAAATGTCGTCACCAACATCAAAGGTATAATTATACCATCTATCGATCATAACTCAATTGCTTATTGACTTAAAAATAGTACTTGTGCAGAAAATCTCGACGCTCGAATCAATCTTTTTTCACTCAGTATCGATACTTGTAAACTTTATAAACTATTAACACCTTAAATGACTTTAAGGTTCAGATATATACATACATACATATTTATATACAAAGGTAATGCATTATTTGCATGTGCCTCTGCTCGTTATCACGACTTCAGTGATCACATGTATAGGTATATGATTTTTTCGTCACTCCTTTATCATTCGCCCATATCTAACCTTAAGAGATAAGAATGTAATTCAAAAGAAATAATGCTAATAAATGTTAACTACTGTGTTTCGTTTCAGTAACTTGAAAATTTTAATCATTAATGTTTTTATAATTTACCTTGAAAAAAATCAAAACCTCTGCAACATGTCTACTAGGGTGGGCCTTAAAATATCAACATCGTGGGGCATGACTTTATTTTTTTTTCTACGTACATACAAAATAAAGGCATCTACGAAAATTTCAAAATTTTATCCAAATTTTTAGTGATCGCTATCAGGGTTGGAAGAAATTGTCTTTTTCTATCACAAAAATTCAACAAAATTTTAATTTTCAACTCTAGTTTATAAATTTATATGAATAATTTTCAATATGTCCAATTTATCAAATTTAAATTAAAGTTTTTTCGAATTCTGTGATTTCTTAACCGACTTCAAAAAAGGAGAAGGTTATCAATTCGTCCGAATATTTATTATTATTTTTTTTTTGTTTTGTATGTATGTTACCGCATAACTTTGGACCACGTTAGCCCATTTCTATATTTTAGAAAAAAGGTCTTACCTTAAAGGTGGCCCCATACTAATTTGGTTTAGATCCGATCATTGGATCATAAAGAAATTAACGATAATCTTAAATTTTTATATGAGAATTGAAGTCGGTTTTGTTTTTTGCTTAAAAATTATTATTATTTTGCTTAAAAATTACTTGTTTTAAATTAATAGTTTTTCAAACTCTAAAATTATATTAAAAACTTTGACATTTTCGTATATGTTCTACGTACAAAATAATGGGGTGTCCCATACAAAACTTTGATGCTGATATTTTAAGAACCACCCTACTGTATATATTTTTATATGAATACAAAATTCAAATTTGAACTTATGTTAGTCTGCACCACGAATGACGTTGTCATTTGCCAGATTAGAAAGTCGATATAATTCCTTATTTGTGCATATGTACATATGTATGTAGACACATAACTCACGGCACACACCCACATTATAATCAATCAAAATTGTAACAAACATTGAAATGTTAATGAGTAATCATAATTGTAATGCGCAAAAAGTTATTTATCGTAATCACAGCACATTTTCAATTGTGCGTGTAATTTCTTTCCTTTTATAAATTTGAATTGTGGAACCGGTAGTTGAAAGGTGAAATGCCGTTTCACACGTATCTGGTTAACCGTTTTTTTATGGTAGTTTCACACTATTCACTTTCATCGTTGAAACATTTACACCTGTATTTACATTAGGCTGCATCACTGTTCATACAAAAAAAAAGTCGGTACCGTTATTCGATCGGAATTATACAATTATAAAGATCACCTCATATGATAGAAAAATTTCAGCATAAAAGGCCTACCTAAAAATGTATAAAAATGGTATCAGTGAAATGAATATAATAAATTTTTGGATGTATTTTCAAATCGGCCTAGCTCAAGTAAATCATAATATTTTTTCGAAATATTTTGGCGGAAATCTTAGAATATAATTAATTTTATAACGCCACTTTATTTGGTGCGGCACCCTAATGCATTTGCATATTCGTTGCATTTGTAAATTCACAAAAATAAAATGCGCATGGCAGCAAGCATAAACA